TATACATATATGAAAATAAAAATATATATTTTTATTAAAATACTGATTTAATCTTTCATTTATTATATACTCCTATTACAGGTCAAATGTTTATATACAGCAAACAATGCACCATATACCTATGTACCTAATTATTTTCTCTTTCTGCTCTCTCTTACCTATAGCATTACATATGTAATGATTGTTCAGATTGACTCCCATATAAATTTGTAACGGCGAACGCGTGTATAGAATTATATCTTTTACCTGCAGTCTCACTAGACTGCCACATCCGTTTTTTTTTTATTGATTTCAAACGTGTAACTAACATTCAAAATCACCGGTCGCTTCAAGCGTTGTTTATAAGATAACGCTTTATTTTACATAAAAGTACTAATAATCAATTTTATTCAAAATATGCTCAGCTATATTTTTTATTTAAAACTTTTTTCCTACGACGTTCAAATTTTTAATAATTTTTTTTTCATTCTTCCTGTCCTACGAGGGAACGTTTTATGACGAAGCCGGGGGTAAAAGTGGTAAACTTTATTTGCATCTTTTTTGTCCCAAAATGGACATTCTTATTAAAATTATGTTTATTTTTATAATTTTTAAAGGTTCAGTAGCATTCAGTAGTCTCTGAATGATGAATTGATTTTTTTTTCAAGTCAGTTAATTTTCATACATGTTTTAATTATATACAGTTATTTGCCATTAGCGTCAAACTACCATTAAATTTTTAAAAACTAAGGATTGAAGCACTCGAAACAGGGGGTGTTCACACAAAGACATACACATGTCTTCATTGTTTTTTACGTTACAGAAATTTATAAAAACAAGAATATTTATTAATAAAAGAACTAGATTTTATACTGTATGATTGTTTACGTATAAATTATACCTACTTGAAAAAACATCAGTTTTTAAGAAAATCTCAAAATAGACGATACGATTTATTACAACTCTTTTCAAAAATAATGAATTTTAAACCTCCTGGATCGAATGAAGAATACTAATATAAAGTGTAGTATGAAAAAAAATGACTAATTTTGATTCTGGTGAATGCAAAGTTATTTATTCAGCCCTTTTGCTTTAAAATTTTCCATTTTAAATTTTCTTTTAATTTTTTGTGACCTACTCAGTTTACATAAAGATATCTTTTTGTAGTGCTCATTTTAAAGGCGTTTTCATGGACTACGAAAAACTTTGATATCATTGACTCGAAAAATTAACGCTTTTCTTAAAATTTATGGTTGAATGCCTTAATCCCAATATGTATTCGTAAATAAGTGTCCTTTCACTGAACATATCTCACTTAGTATTGAATCTAGAATATCTGGTAAAAAATGAATTTAGTTCTTTTTTTATAAGCTTCATTTTTTTAATTGCAGGTATATTTTTTTAGTTACTCAATAAAAACAGTTAAAAAGCGTGACTTTTTCAACGGAAATTTGCTGTTTTTAACTATAAATAGCTCAAACAGCATTGATTTTTTGAAAAAACTCTATAACACAAATCCTGTTGATATTTTAATCTTCTATCTACTACCGTAAATATTTTGAGAAAAAAAAATTCCACCCCTGGTAAGATTACCCACCAAATTTCATGTAAATCGATGCAGATGACAAAATTGGGAGGTGAATAGGCCGAGCGACTGGAGTAATGCTAAAAGTCATATTAAATTAAAGTGTTAGGACCAATTTAGTCTGAAATTAAAGTTAACTGTTTCATTGGCGTGTGTTTATTACAGGTACAGTTAGTAGCTTGCGATATGATATCTTCGTATATAAAAATTGTAATCCTGAATTTGGGTCTTCGTCTGTAATGATTTTTTAAGCTGCCCATATTCTGAGACAGAAGATTATTAGCATTATATTTAACCATTTTATATACTCATTTAATTCTTATATATCATTCGGCTATAGTGCACTGGCAGCCTTAAATTGTACAGTGTTATTTTTTAGTCACATAGAACTAAAAATTAAAAAAAAAAATGAAGAATTATCGGAGTAATGTATTTTGTCTATCTTAACGGGAGAACCCTTTGTTTCCAAAAGATTAAAAGGTATTTTAAATTTTAGCAATTATATATCTGTTAAGTAGTAATTCTATCAAAATATACCAGCAAAAACAAGGCATTAAGTAGGTACAATGCATCAATGGTTTTCTAGATCGTAATTCGGGAAGTCTGGGGGCAGATGCGGCGATGGGAATGACTGGAAAGTATACGAGGAGCTAATTAAATGGAGAGTGAGCATAATGAAGGGTCAATCACCGACGGTGGAAAGCCTGGAGAGAGTCATTAAAAAAGCGATGGAAGGAAGCAAGATTGGTCGCCAAGATGTCAACAGGATGCCATATTGGTGGAATGCGGACATCGAGGCACTAAGAAATATATGTATAACAATGAGAAAAAAGTTAACAAGAGCAAGGGGCAGAGCAGGAATTAATCCTGAGGTCATCGAGGAGATTGAGGAAGAGTACCGCGCAAGGAAGAGGGAACTGTACAGGAAAATTCGTACAGAAAAAAGAAGGCACTGGAAAGAGCTGTGTAAAAAACTGGATGAGGACATATGGGGTTAGGTATACAAGATCGTTATGAAGAAGTTCCATGCGTATCCTCCTTATGAAATGCCTATGGACAAGAAGCTTGAGGTAACAAGAGAGCTCTTTCCGGACGGCAGATGTCATGGTGTATGGAGGAATGAAGGAGCTGAGCGGGCTGTACCCTTTACCATGGATGAACTTGTCGAGGCATTGGGTTCACTCAAGACTCGTAGGTCCCCCGGACTGGATCAGATACCACCTGAGGCTGTAAAGGGTCTAAGACGGGTGGAGCCTGCGTGGCTTCTGGAACACATGAATGCATTGCTGGAAGCACAAACCTTTCCTGAGCCTTGGAGGACATCGAGTTTAATACTGCTTCCCAAAGCTAGGAAAAAGTATCGCCCCATCTGTCTTCTTCCATGCATCAGTAAGCTCTATGAAAGAAAGCTGCGAGTACGCATAGATGACATGATTGAGAGGTCAGGTGGTTTATCTCTGAGGCAATTTGTTTTTTGTAAAGGGAAAAGCACGATTGATGCAATCATGAGTGTACTCGAAACATTGCACAACAGAGGAAATGAACATCGCTGGGCGGCCCTGCTGTTGTTTGATGTTAAGAATGCATTCAATACGCTGCAGTGGAACGAGGTAATGAAGGCAATGGAGGAGAGAGAATGTCCTGGTTACCTGATAAATGTTATGGCGGAGTATCTGTCCGAGAGAAAGATTATGGTGGAAAAGGGCACGATCGTGGACGTGATGGCCGGGGTACCCCAGAGATCTGTCTTGGGCCCGACGCTATGGAATCTGGCATATGACGGGGTTATGCACTGTGAATACGGAGAGGGTACAACCCCCTTCGCATTCGCGGATGACCTCGCTGTACTGGTAGTAGCCCGGGATGAGCCAGATCTCAAATACCGGGTTCGGAACGCAGGTGGCGTCGTAAAGAAATGGATGACGCAGCACGGACTAAAACTTGTGACAAATAAAACCGAAGCCATTATTCTGAAGGGGACAAGGAACAGGCAAGGTGTTGAAATAAAATGTGCGGGAGTATGTCTAATACCCAAGACACAAGTAAAGTATCTAGGAGTGACATTACACCAGAATGGAAAATGGGGGGAACACGTTCGGGTGGTGGTCCAAAAGGCTGCGAATAGTTCAGCTGCGTTGGGGAGAGTGATGCCGAACATTGGAGGACCCAAATCCGAAAGGAGGAGGGCCTTACACGGTGTTGTACAGTCTATCGTTCTCTACGCAGCACCAGTCTGGAGCGAGGCGGTAGAAATAACGGCCTACAGGAGTCTCATCAAACGAGTAGACAGAACAAGTCTGTTGCGAGTGGCATGCGCCTATAGGACTGTGTCTGCGGTAGCCTTATGGACCATCACTGGATGTGTTCCGTTGCATGTTTTGGCGGTGGAAAGAAAAGAGCTTTATGGGAGAAGAGGCCCAAACCTTACTGTGGCTGAGAGAAGACAGGTAAGGGAAAGGTCAGTTGAAAGATGGCAAGAAAAATGGAACAATACGGAGGATGTGGCACAATGGACGAAAATGCTGATCCCTAACATAAGAGTTTGGGTGGACTGTGACCGCAGGCGATTCGATTATTTCCTGACGCCTGTACTCACAGGACACGGGTGTTTTAGGGCCTACATTTATAGGATCGGTAAGGCTGATACAGATGAATGCCTATATTGTGGATACTCGGACACTGTGACATATACGATGTTAGATTGCAGCAGATGGATAGTGGAAAGGAACAGAATGGAGAAAGAGACAGGTGTGAATTTTGTTACAGTGAGAGAAATGATTAAGAGAATGATTGAAAATAAATTAGGTTGGATTAACATACATAGTTATATCCGTGCAGTGATCAAAAAAAAGGAAGAGGAAGAAAGACAGCTGGACCAACGGCAAAGGTAGATTGAATGATGCTGAAAGGTGAAGTTAGAACAGTGGGTTACACTTTTTGAGTTAGAATGCGTGAGTTTGACTGTGGGGAAGGAGGAAATGCCCTTCTGAGAATGATGCCGAACTAGGAGTGTGGATGTGTATAAATGGAGAATGAATGAATAAAGGTAGTGCTTCGGAAGTCATGCCGGCCTTACAGCGGCCAATCCGCTTCCGGATCGCTGGATGACAGAGGAGGGTCTAGTTTAGCAGGTAGGCGTTCGGCGTAGACTCGGCGACGAGAGGGCATTTTAAAGTACCTCGGGAACTATCGCCGGGAGTACGAAGAACGAATCCTGCACTAAAGTCAGTCAGGCGGCGTCTTGGACTGAGATGTCTTTTGAAGATTTCAGACCCCCCCTCTATAAAGACGAAAAAAAAAAAGATCGTAATTCGCTGCTGTCTATTTTATAAAATATGAAACTAATTTTTGAAAATCCAGATTGTATGTAATACTCTTTTTTAAAAAACGGTAGTTATATAATTAGGTGTCTACTAAAAATAATAAAATATCTTACCAGGACGTTTCTCGTTTTCTGCAGAGCTTACGCCTAAAACAAAAAAAAAACAATGTATAATCTGTATATATTTTTTAATAAAATTAAAAAGGTATCAGTGTTTTATATCAATATTTTATTAATTATTTTTATTTCCCTTTTAATATGAGTATAATATTATATTTAGTCATATTTAAGCACCTGAGTTATTTTTGTGTAGATAGGCTTCAACTGTATCATATCTTTGGTGGTTTACCTTCAATATACTTCAAAATACTTTTCTGGTGTACTGAAAATTACCTTACCACATATTTTACTTAAAGTTCTTTTAATGACACAGTGGCTCATTATTATATTGTAGAGTTTTGCTTCCTTGATAGTTCTTAATGTTTTTATTTCAGATAAACTTATCATTTTCTTTGTTGTTAATTTTGTGGCTCTGAATATTGTGATGCGGCCCGAGTACAGTAAATAATGTACTCTTGTTTTATAGATTCTGACATTTTTTTATTTAGTGTTCCATTTCTTATACTCTGTATGTTAATTTTTGGTCTAAAATTTAAGTAGTAGTTAAGTCTAAAAAGTACAATGAGAAGGAGCATCGTCATGTTGAAAAATTAAATAATCTTATGATATTGTTTATCATTTTCAATATTATTAGTCAAGGCAGGATCAATCACGGCTTTCAGTAATTGTAAAAATTCTAAATACATTCAAATTGCTAGATAAAAAATGATCCCACCACGATTTACAGTTCCATTTACGTAAAAAGTGCATTCATTGGAGAAACAATATTAAAGCGAAACTGTGGATCGATCACTGTTGGCTCACTGATAATTTTACAAAACTGTAACATCGACCATAATCATCCTAATTAAGTTCATGCACTAAGTGTATTTTATATTGATGGAATTTGTTCTTAGCTCAAAATAGCCTAAACGCTAGTTTGGTTGATACAACTTCTACTTGTCTCTTGTACTAAATATGGAATCTATGTAAACATGTTCTCAACAACTTTACTGGGAACTATAGGCTCTTTATTTTTCTGTTTTGTATTACTTACATTCCGGAAATGTTTTTATGAACTCCAAATCATACTTCCTATTATCGTGTTTATCTTAATCTTATTAATTGATGCTTACAACTTAGATAAGGTGAAAAGCTTGGGTTCGTTCGGAAAAATATTTTCATGAGATTTGCTTTCATAACAATTTTTATGAGATACTCCAAAATAAGGTTCAAGAGGTCGCCGAAGCAAAAATTTCTTTAAATGTGCTTTTAAACAAATTATAAAATTAAATTTTTTTGACCCGGACAATTTTTTTTTAAATTTTCTGGAACAAATCTATCTTTTGTATATGTTATGAAATATGCAACAGTGTCCGGTCTATTAAAATTATTAGACTAAGGCGGCTAGGACACCACGAAAGAATACACACTGGAGACCCCAAAGATAGATATTATGTCAAGAGCCAGTAGGAAGCAGGAAAAGAGGTAGGCCAAGATCTTGATTTATTACTTAAGTAGAAGATGACTTCAGAAATCTAGTGGTCAATAATTGGAAAGCCAGGGCAAAAGATAGGGAGAAAATGGAGGGTAATTCTTGAACAGGCCAAGACCCACCCAGGATTGTAGAGCCAAAGATTATGATGATATATTTTGTATTTTTTGTAAAAACTTGATCGTTTTCGAGTTAAAAACGATTTAATGCTCAAAAACATAATTAAAAAATAATATTTTTTAATTAACCAAGGACCCAAATTTAAGTTCAAACTGTGTTTCCGATAAGTATTTTGGGCTTATTTTATTTTATAACATTGTTTTTTAATCGATATTCTTTTAATACTCTGGTCGGGGTATATACCAGAAGCTGTTACGGCTTATTTTGTCATCAGAGTTGCGGTGAAAACAATTCTTATAGGCGCAGTCGAAACACTTAATGCTTGCTGGTAGGTAAAATATCGAAAACCTATATGCTGCTTGGCGAACACGTGCTTTTCACAAAACTGGTAGGATAAGCTACCAGCAATACCAGCATGTCTTTCTATGTAAAAAATCGTTCAATTTTGCTTTGTTTTGTTTTTTGAACACGTGTCATTTGGAATAAAATATTTGTACAAAAATTAAACATAAGTGTCAAGTGTACTTTTTTCATTATTTATAACTAGTAGAAATTTTTTTAAAAGCACTGAAATAGTATTTGCCAAAATAAATATGAATTATAAGAAATCTAACCCCAAAGTGCATTATTTTTATTTATTCCGGCGTACAAACAATTTTTATTTCTTATTTTGAAACTTATGTCAGTAGATAAACAATATTGTGGCAATAAATTTCTATAAAAATCTTGTTGTTTGACATTAGCACCAGGAAAATATTTTTGATCATTTTGAGGATTGTAAGAAATAAAAGATTATTTTTTCCTATACTAAACCAGAATAATCTCGAGATGATAGTTTACGCACAATACAAAAATTTTGCACTGAACCTTTAAGCGTTATTGTTAACGTGAATTTGGGTAAGCCAATCGACTTTTTCAGAGTTTCCTTTAGTGAAAGTAACTGTGTCACAATTTATAAAGAATAGAACCTCTACGCTACTTAAATTCGAAATTCGAGACTCGTGACCACGATTGATTCTCTCTGAAATTGATGGGATAGATGCTCAATATCAAGCCGACAGCTTACTATTTGAGATCTCTTTTTATAAGGAGACTCAACTAAGAACCTGATCGAAAGGCAACTTTAGATGGAATGAAAAATCGAGCTTAACCCTTAAAATATAGGAAGAATTGGACAAACAAACTTAAATACTTCCAAACATACTTATAAAACCTTCATTCGACTTATTATAGAGTGTAAGGTAAATTTGTATTGCCCGTTAAAACTTTCTCCAAAACAAAAATTATTGAACGTAAAATCTTGCGTATGAATACGTTAACTGTGGTTCCAAGGAAAAGGGGCATGAAATCAGTTTAATCAAAATTATTTTAATTTGTCTATTTGGTAAAAGGGCACATTTCTGAAAAATGTAATGCATTTCTTTATTATAGCCATCCAAAAATTAGGCATGAGTCAATATTTTGGCCATATTAATAAAGAAAAGGAGCTCGACTTGAATTACGCCTACTAAATCGAAAAATGCGCGGTGTTTTGGTTTTGGAATAAGGCATCTTGTCGAGTTGGCACATCTAGAATGCACAAGCACACCCGAACCACTCACTCTCAGAACTTGTTGGCGCCTCCCACGGTGATATTGTTTGAAGTGATTTTCTGTGTTTATTTTTTGCCTTTGTGTAAATAATATATGTATTTAAGTGAAAATTAACTAAATAGAATATCTGAAAATGTTTAATAGAAGTAGAAAGATACTAGATTTGGTATTGGAAAATGCATCTCACCAAGCAGGTAAATACAACATAATCTTAATAATTATAAACTTTTTTAACTTAAAATAATTTCTGTATCTCTAATATATTAATAAATTAAATTTTTTGCTGATTTTACAATTTAACAATTGATAACGTTTTGCTTTAATAGAATACTCTAAAATTAATATAAATAATAGATATGATATTTGTTCCTTCTTTGTTACACTTCATCTACATATATTACACTTTTCATAGCTGTTTCACATCTGTTTAAGTATGTGTTCATATTTCCTCTGTTTCCATATTTTTCCTAAAGCCCTCTATTCGCCTTCTTGATATACATAATATTTTTGAATTCTTTGTCCAAATAATACTCACCAATATTGTGAGTGAGTTTGTGAATTTTGTCTACACATTTTAACAATTTTTATTTTGGATTTCCAGATAATGGGAATTCACCATCATTTGTAATAACACCTTCAGTTGAGAATGAGGAAAACCAAGTGATATTTTCGGTCCTTCAGGAGAGCCATTCACCCAAAAACATCCGTAAAGAAGATAGCGATGATAGCATAGCTGACAAGGATTATGTGCCTTTAGACGAAAGCAGCGATAACTCTACGATTGCTAATAAAAATGGGGTTATTTCCCATAATAATCAATTCAGCTTAGTACTTTATTCTGACTCTGATACTGAGCATGAAGATATGGTAGGTATTAATGGTGAAACTAATAATGATAAGAAAAGGAGGTGTTCATACACAAGAGCTACAATAAAATACAAAAGAAATAGAGGATTGGAATATACCAGTCAAAAAGGAAAAATAGTTCAAGCAAGAAATGTAAAACCTTTGCAACCATGTAGAAAAAAATGTGCGAACAAAATTAATTTTGAAGAACAACAGCAAATATTTAAAGAATATTGGAATCTTGGAGATTATAACAAGAGAGTATTATATTTGGCCCAGTTGATTTTTCAAGCTCCTAAAAAGACTATTCGGATTAGAAACAGTGGGCAAGCTCCTAAACCAAGAAGCATAAACTTTGTTTATTATATAAAACTTCGTGGAGTTTTACTTGAAATTTGCAAGGAATGTCTTAAAAAAACATTTTGTGAGAGCGACAAATTCCTACGCACAGTTATACAAAAATCAGTTGTAGGAATATCTGGTGTAACAAGTAATGACCAAAGGGGTTCTAGTACACCACCTTCAAAAGTTTCAAAAGAAAGAAACCAATTAATACTTGACCATATAAATAGTTACCCTGCATACGAATCTCACTATTCACGACGACATACAAGTAAAAAATATCTTCCCTTAGGGCTAAATTTAACAATAATGTTTCAAATGTATAAAGAAAAAGTTTCTCAGTCTGTTTCCAGATCACATTTTACCAAAATTTTTGAAAGCACAGGTATGAAATTTAAGAAGCCGTCCCTAGACACATGTAATACATGCGATGCTTTACATATGAAAATAAAATTAGCAGATTCCAGTGAAAAGGAAATGTTGCAGCAACAACTTAATACTCATCAGGCAGAAGCTGACTTGGCTTATACAGAAAAATCAAAGGACAAAGCAAATTCAAATAACGAGAACATAACTGTAACTTTTGATCTACAACAGTGTCTACCAACACCTCATTTAACTACAAATGTTGTTTTTTATAAACGTCTACTATG